GAGAGTGGAATCTAGCTGTAGTTAACAGCCACTATCCAGTTAAATCCTCCTCCTCTGTGCTAAACAGGAACAACTACAGCATTCCTACTGGTTGCCAAGGCTGTAAAAGCAACACATCATGTAAAGACCTTTAGAAAAAAAAGACATTGTTTTGCAAGCACAAAGGAACAGAATGGGGAAAGGTGTATTTCTACTCCACTGCGCCTCATCGCTCACTTTTGCTGAATCTAAGGTTACGGCCAGGGCTGTCTGGCAGTTATCCATACACAGTGAATCATGGCATTTGTGTATGTGCGCACATGTGCGTGTGTGCGCACAGTGGAGCTGTGGACAGGTATGACAGGCTGACCTCCACATGTTACCAGCGAGAGTGTGCGGCCCAGTGTTACCTGTCATAACACGGGCTGCCTGGAGCCCCGGAGCACCAGCCTGACCAGGCCACTGGGCAGCCAGAAATAATAGAGACTGGCAAGAGGGCAATGAGGGGTCACACGGAGGGAGAGAGGAGGGGGAGGAGGGGGACAGGGACATATGACAAGAGGACTGGTGGAAGGATGAAGGCAGGAGAGTGAGAGGGAGAAGAAAGAGAGCACAGAGAAATTTACTGTAGTGAAGTGAGGAGAGCGGTGAGGATAATGATGTGGGAGCAAGTGGGTCAATCAAGGAGCAAAGAAAGAAAGATAAAAGAGAAGGAAGGTGGCTGCTGTTCTCCCTGCATAATACCTCCTCCAGCCTCTGAAGAGTGCTAAAAAATTATGAGTAAGGGCAGGGAGGGAAGAAAATCCAACTGGTGCTTTCTGAGCTCTCAGTCTCTGTCTGACACCCTCAAACCAGACAAATAAGTCTAAGACGGACCACCTCGCTTCACTTCCCATTTGTTTTGAAGCTCAGTTTATCTTTGAGAGTATGATGTCGGAGCCTTCTCGAGGTGCAGCCACTCGCCTGCAGAGATGGAACAGCTGAATTCACTTAGGCAGGCTTGGCCAGCAATTAAAGTGCTGGATTAAGAGTGATTGCATTTTGTGTCCTGAGGAGGCGCTGCCTGCCATCTTGAGAGGTCTCATTAACATGGCTGCCGTGGGCTGTGCTGAGCACTGCCATAGGCAGTTAAAAAATAATGGAGACATTATCAGCCTTAATGTCTTGTACCTGGAGTGGAGAAGATTTTATAATCACTATTGTGATGGGCCACAGGCTGCCGGTTGTGCGAAAGGGAAAGGTTGGATGAAGATAACCCTTTTTCTGACCAGACCCCTGTGTGTTTTTTTGATCAGCCACTACACGTGGGGAGTCTGAGCAGCTGGATTTCATTAATTGAGTGCTGGCAGCGTTCTGCTCTGGCGGCAGGGGTGAGTCACACTGGTGGGATTGGTCTCTCTCTCCCTGATATCATCTTCCAACCATAACTACAAATAATTATTCACTCAAATCCATTACCGGGGGTCAATCAAGTTCCCCAATCAGTTCTAAAGTCCAATTACTGGCGCCAAGGCTCTATTCGCGCCTTCCTGCAGATGAAGGCCTGGCCCACAGGCTGCCCAGTAAATTACACATAGCAAACAGTGGAGTGTGCATGTGTGGGAGAGCAAGCCTCCTCAGGTGGGTAATAAAGCAGAGGTACATACTGGTCTCCCTGGGGCATTCTGACCGTACCATCTAGCAGACTTCACCAGGTTAAATAGAATTAGCCCATGCAATGAGACGCACTTCGAATACCAACCACGTCTCATCACTCTACAGGCTAGAGAGCACGCAGCATGCACAGCGCAGTCTGGTATTAACATCCATCTCAGCAGTTGATATAATAAGACATGTCGCCATAAGGGTCTTCCTATAAAGAGGCTGCACAGTGACCCATCAGAGCAGCATAATGAGTGGGGTGTTACATCTACAAGCATGCGCACACACACACACTCAGGGCTCCGCTGCAGCTCTCCAACCCTATTAGCGTGTGGCTTCTTGTATCGTTTTGCAGCCGTCTTGAAAGTGAGCCCTGAGCCTGGAGGAAATGCTTCTCACACACTCATCTGTCACGACAGAGAGTCAGCAGTGCAGCCAGCCGAGTCGGAGCGGCCGGGTGGGCAACAAGGCAGGCAGCGTGAGTGGTTGCGTGAGTGTGCGTGCGTGTGACAGGATGGATGGCTTAGATGTATGTACAAGATGTGTAGGAGGTGAGCAGGATGGGTGTTCGTGACGGGTGAGTGTGGTGGTATGTGCTTGTGTGCGAGGAGCAGAGCAAACAAAAGCAGGGACGGGCTGAGGCTTTGTGGATCAGCAGCCCATGACCGCTTGTCACACTACACACACAGCTCCCAAATCGGCCTGGTAGGAGGGCCAGTCTGACATTTCCCTCAGTGTCAGGCTTCCCTCTCACTCTGATCTGACCAGAGAACAACCCAACTATAACGCTGACACAACCAACACGAAGAAAAACATAGATGTCTGTGCTACAGAATGCTTGCTTTATTTACTGACATTTGTAGCAGCCCCATTGTTCAGTGCTCATTTCATACTTTGAGGTTTTGAAGGGGAAAAGCTGAGTTTTTGGAAGGCAATTACAACAGTATGAGAGCACCGTTTTGTTTTGTCCTGAGCCAGGAAAGCATTCTGACTTCAGACTGCTGACACAAAGAAAGGCTGTCAATGTAAGCCCCTCCATTAAACATGAAAAAACCTCATCAAAGAGCCAGTCTCTGTCCTCTGCTTACATTCAAGAGATCCAGCGAAATGCTAAACACATGTGGATGGTTCCCTGTGTTTAGGCTAAAATGGCCGAACACGATCCGGCAGCATTTGAGTTAATCTTCCTTAGTGAAACCGCATGGTGTTGTTTACACTGGAGACAAATGTGTGTACATATATGCATGTGTGTGTGTGTGTGTGTGTGTGGAGCGTGTCCAGAGCTGCAGAACTCACTGTTCCCTTTTGCAAAGCCAGAGCAGTTACAGTGTGTATGTGTTTGTGTCAGCATGATCGAGGAGAAGGGTGTTACTCAGACCTAATGAATCCATCTGCATTCAAGGGGCATTCTTCCTCTTGTACGCAGGCAGGAGCAAACGGGCAGCGACCTGGGAGCGCGTCCAGCGGTTGGGGGGCTCATGCTCGGTATTTCCAAAAGCAGACCAGCAAGGACAAGCGTGGATTAGTATTGAATTCACCTAATCCCCCCCCCCGAAATATAGGCTATTTTCAAAAAGAGGGTTGAGGTTGAAAAGGCGTACAGTCACACACTCAACCCTCCCGCTCTGTACTGTACTTTAACATTGCTACTTTCTGCTTTTCAGTGAGGATTGAGAATGGCCAAGGAGGCTTTGGCACTGAGGGCAAGGACTACAGTACAGCCTGTGCTCCAGGAGAGTGGCAGCTGCTGATGTCCTCACCTCTGAGTGACCTGGCACCCTAGGCAACCTCAATGAAGAATGGATGGAGGGCAGGAGGCGGGGGCGTTATGAAGGGGAGGGTGGTTGGCACTGAGGGCCCAGTCATTAGGATAATGAATCCAGAGCTGAGTGGAATTTGGGAGACCTCTAGTGGCTTGAGAAAGCAGAAACTCACACCCACAGGGGGTTGATATACAGTATTATGAATACTATTGAACACTATAAATGCTTCATGATATCAAATCCAATCTTTACTGACTGCGGTTATCTGGAGAAAGTTATTCACACCTTCACTTCTTCCCATTTTAATTTTTATATTCTGCATATAATTTAACAAAAAGCACCAAATGTTAGTAGTTTGTTCAGAACACAGCTTTTTTAACTACAACTAAGTAGAGGAAAACAAATTACCCCAAAGTTATCTCATTTTAAAGCCTCCTTTGGTTTCCAGTTACTTTTAGAATAAAGTTGAAGATTGCATTAATGTCTTATGACACAAATGGATTAACTCCATATTTGCAGCATTTTATTGAAAGAGTTCAGCCCTAAAATGTCAGATTGTCCAAGTACTGAGCTCCTAAGCTGCTGGATGAAGAAATCATTGTGAGACTGATGCACCACTGACATATTAAGCCCAAAGGTTATATTATTTTTATGAAGCTTAATTGATCTGAATTTGTGTCATACAATACAACATCCGAATATTGAATCATAAAATTACCAGAGTTAAAACATTTCTGACGGTTTCCTTCAAAACTGATTACGTGCTTCAGAAAAGGTAGTATTGTGAACTTTATATTATATTTCATGTTAAACTCTGAACTAAAGTTTGTGTTCACCAGTGTGTAGATGCAGATTCATCATTTCATCAATCATTTGAATACAGCTCAGCCTACACTCTAAAACTCTGGTGGACAGGAAATGCCCGATCTAGAGCCAGTGTTTGGTTTGTCCATTCTGGGCTACAGTGGAAACATGGCGGAGACCACGGCTCATTCTAAAGTAACGAAAACACAACAACTCTTATTTATACACTAATGAAAACATACCAGTGAATATTATATTCCTTTTGTGCCAAAGTATCCGACATATTACACACCGGACCTTAAAGCAGGATATTGGGATATATGGGAAATACTCCTTCTGTAGATTATACAGTGTTAGATACCGGAGTCTATTGCTTCACCCTGAATAAAGCAACTTGTTTGTTTAAATTAATAAAAGTAGCTGCAGCAGGGTTATGAGTGTGTGACTTCTCTTTGCCTTTAGTTCTCTGGTGGTGTCCAGGAGTGCAGTGCATTATGAAGGTAATTCTGAAAATATTAAAGTGTGTTTTGCCTGAATTAGAAGCAACTGTGCAGCTGACTCGTTCGGGGGATACCTAGCACTGACATTTCTGGCTCCAGACGCAGAAATAAATTTCATTACATCTTTGACAAATCTCAGGACTAATATTCGTAGAGGTAACATTAATCACTCCCCACTTTTTCATATCTTGAGCAAACACCGGGAGAGAGGAAAGCTAGGCCAACTGTACAGACAGATTTAATGCTATTCACTCAGGTCTAGTGTGTAACATTTAAGAGGATCTATTGGCAGAAAAACCTTCACACAGGTCTGTTAAGATTCACATCATTCGTTTAATAAAATATTCAAGTCAGAAACAAAAAGTGTCCAGTTGCTTTTCCAATGAAAATGTGTTTGTTATTAGAACAATGTCCATTGCAGATTAACCAGAGACACAAGTGATCATAACCCATCCCATTTCTCTAAGTCTGATCCCTTCACTTTCCTTTGTGGGTTACACATAGTGTATTATTGGTCACTGTAGGAGGAGGGTGGGCAAGAGTCTCAGTAAAATACATTATCACAATAATATTTCCACCACAGTATTTGTCATGTCAACATTTATGGCATGTCACCACTTAGTGACCCTGTGTTTATAAAAGCGATGAGTATTGTGCAAACGACTGTCCAAATGCAACAACATAGCCTTTACAGTCCTCCGTATATTTAAAACTGTTCCTGGGGGTCTGTAGTGTTTTTGTCCATGTCCAGTAAAAAAACGCAGGCCTTTGGCAGCGTAACATTTCATATCTCACAGCACAGTTAAACACAATTGAAATGTTTGTCCACTGTCCCAAATATGGATGGGTCTTGGAGCTGTAGGCGGGCAGTGTCGACTGTCTGCACTCTCAGCTCTCTCCTGATTTGGATTACAGCATGCAGACACTGTGTGTGTTTCTGTGGAGAGGTGACATATCTTAGATGTTTTAAATGAGTATAAAAACAGTAAGGCTGTTTCTTTTTGTGCAAACCACAGAATCAAGGTCACATATTTTCACTCGGTCCTGGCTTTTCTTGGCACTGAGTGGCCCTGATCAGCCTTGAGGCATTCATCCATCCTTCTCCAAAATTGCAGTCCCACTGATTATTATGATGATGATGACAAGAAGGCTTTGAGAAGCAGGTCAGCAGCCAGGCCTGGGGAGATGGCTCCTTTGGTGACCCTCTTCTCTAGGTGGGGTAGGGTATCTCTGACACTGGGGTGATTCTGGAAATGATGGAGGACGTTCTCCTGGATCAAACTCCACATCCAAACCTTCTGCTGGGCCCTCCGCCGGCCCTGAAATTCACCACTGGCCAACATGGAGTCCCGGTACAACTCCATCTTGGCCCAGACCTCTGGGATGCCCTCACTGGTGTATGAGGAGGCGCGTACCACCTGAGGAGGAAGTTGGAGGGGGAGGGGGGTGCAGGAGGCATGTGTGAATTTAAAGCGTCTCTTTTTCCAACAAGCAGGAGGTATCTGGATTATTCGACTGTGCAGCGTAAAAACGTCACAGCAAACTGCCTTCTGTACTTTGTTATAAAAGTTTTAAAAGATATACATGGACTTACGTTTCATATTTTTTCTGTTCTGAAACAGCACCTTCGCTTTAAGCCACTTTGTCAAAACTTGTGGACAGTGCCTCTCGGAAAATTAAGGCAGTTGCCAGAGGCGACTTTATTGTCCCACAGATGGAGAAAAATTGTACAGTCAGCTTTTTCCGAGAGAGTAGCAAACCTCAGGAACAATCCCTATGAAATCCACTGTATACAGCATTTTTTAAATCAAACTTAAAATATGGTTAAAATTGTCGGGGATCCAAATGGTTGAGAGAGATAACAAATAACTACAACATCCCCGGTTTAATTACAACTGAGGATCCTTGTTGCATGTGAAACATTCTCTCTCCAGTTGCTTCCCGTCTGTCTCTGTACTTCAAGCAGTCCAATAAAGACAAAATGCCAAAAAAGGTTCAAATCTACTCAGCTATGTACTTAATGTTATTGTCGATTAACTCTAAATTGTCAATAAGTGTTTTTATTCTTGCTTGATTGTATAGTTTGTTTAAGATTGTTTGGACAAAGTGTTGTAATGAGTTTCCTTCAGTTTGCCCCCCCTTTATTATTGTTGTAACTTCACTTTGTACGATTTTAAAATGACAGTGTTGATTAATGTGCATTGTGTATAAACAAGTAAAGTTGTGGATATGTCTTTGTTTCAGTAACATAAAGAAGTAAAACAAATGCCAAAAACAACTAATGAAAGAAACAGTTGTTTTTACTTTGCAAAACAAAACAAAACAGTGTGGGTTTCTTTTGACATAGACATAATTTAAAAGGTGTACTGAGCTTTGATTTTAATAACCAAAGAACATTTTATGTATAGTTAGTTGCATTCGAGTCTGGGGAGTTTCTGCTTTTTTCCAAATTGTATGGGTTTTTTTATGTTTAAGAATTCTTTTGTGATGTACCTCCATCATGGAAGGAGCTGTCAAACAGTGTGAGTCACCTTGTTCACACAAGCAACCTGGAGATAAATGGCACTTATGTGTTTAGTACAAGTGACTGCACGTCTCTTGTCTGAGCTAACTACAGATACAAGAGCGCATGATGAAACTCAGGGTAACACTCAAATTCAAAGCAGACACAGAAGTGAAAGTGCCTCAGATTTAGGAATTAAAACAAAGTCGGGGCATTCATTCAGATATGCATGTAGGACCTATGAAACAGCTTGTATAACAGTTAACCTTCTGTTTCTTAATCACTTCATTACACACTTGTGAATAAAAATGAAAAGAGGGAGTTTGGAGGAGGAGTGTTGATGTCAAATAAAACCCACAAATAATCGACAATCTCAAGAGTGCTGAAGTGTAATGAGATTACATGATCACTTGGAGATAATTTGACATCAGTTGGCAATCTGCAAAGTTTAATGTGACATGTCTGATAAATATTGGGGCCTGTGATCAACAGCCAATTATGAATCTTCTAATTACATAATTGAGTTAATCATATTAGAAGGATTTGATTTGAGTCCGATGCAAAAACAGGAAATCAAACCTTGTGTGGCAAATCGTACTGCATTTATGCCAATTATCCTAGGGCTAGTTAAAAGATATATTAAAAAACACAGTGCCTTACCTACTCCTACTTGTGTGAAGCCATGCAAATAGGTTGTTTTATTTGTCCATGTATGAAGACACTGTATCTGTCTCTGAGATTTCTGCCGCCACCCCAGAACAATGGAGCCCACAGCATTGACAAATTAGATTAAAAAAAATTCTTCTTCCACAAACAATGCCCCCGATTCTCTGGATAACCCACAAATTTCACTGTGAAGAGTTCATAGTGGAATTACTTTACCATATAAAAAGGCTGCTCCAGCAATTTAGTACAGCACTTTTATAAGATTGAAAGACTTGCAAGAGACAGATCAAGCCCCATCGCATTCTACGCTTATCCAACTAATAATCCCATAATCCAACGCAGTAACATTTTTGGAAGATCCTCCCTGCCTTCTGAACACCTTTCAAACATCTTTCTAACTCCATGCAGGGTCTCCAAGCTAAAACTGAGATTAGAAATAAGTAGAGTAAGTGAGTTAAAGTTTATTTATATACCACTTTTCAAACCCAAGCTTAGAAAAACAAAAAAAGACCTAAGATGAAAGAAATTAACTTAATAAAGATTTTAGGCCATATTGTTAAAGAATAAGAATAAATTGGGGGTAGGAGCCATCAATAAATAAAATGCCTTTGAGAATAAAAAGCTCCTGAGATGATCAAGTTGAGTAATTTTCTCAGACTTGACAAAGTTCCTTCAGTGCCACTGAAGAAATTATTCAACCGTTTTCACAAGATAAGCTAAAATCAAAGTGGCATTTTTTTTCATTAATTTTGTATGTTTTAATGGTGAGTGAGGTAGACAACAGGAGCAAAACTGATGGAAACAAGAGACAGCGAGAGACTAAATCATAGGTTATGGTACAGTAGGCCAAACAGACAGACACAAAAGAGGGCAAGACATCAAAGGTAAAGATACGTATGGAGAGGAGACTACGAAGAGCAGCCTATCAAGCTTTTATGTTGAGTGTGCAGGCTTCTAATCAGCAAAATGCATGACACAGCAGCAGAGTATTCAGAGCAGCAGGAGTCGGGAGTGTGGGGTGGGGATAAGGGGGGTTCCTGGCAGCTTGCCCAGTGGGCAGATGCTGCATTGGGCTGTGAAAACAAAGGGACAAGGCCAGGAACGCAGGCGGGTGAGCTGGGACATGCGGGGAGGAGTGAGACACTGCAGTACAGAAAGCATGATGCTATGACATCATTACCACCACCACCACCATCACCATCATCATCATCATCATCATCATCATCATCCTCCCTCCTCCCCCCTCTCTCTCCTCCCCGCTTCCTGGGTCAGCTGACCTCTCAGTGGGATGCCTTGTTGGGTCCACAGAGCAGTACTACTTCTGCTGCGACTGCCCAGTGGGTCAAATGTTGAACATGTGTCAATTATACTTTTTTTAAAATGCAAAATCATTCTGTTGTTGGCTCCCTCCCTCACTACACTGCCTATATACACACACACACACACACACACACACACACACACACACACACACACACACACACACAGTATCAGTATCAGTATACACATACACACACCTTAGGGTTCCAAGACTTGGACTGTCTCCTGAGCAGCTTGAGTGCACTGGTGTATTCAGTCTGGATCCTCCTGGCTGGCACCATCAGGTCTCCATCCGACTTTGTCACCACCACCAAGTCGGCCCTCTCAATGATGCCCCTCTTGATACCCTGGACAGAGAATTTGGCATTAAAGGCGGGGGGGGGGTCATTAACTTCAAAAAGCACTGTAAATAAATCTGATGTCTAGACACGTAATCTGCTGAGGGATCTGTGTACACAGTGAGTGCTGGATGGGTAGAGCTGTGATTGGCTGCCAGTTTAGTTTGTTTTTTATTAATCTGATATCGTTGCTCTCTATCGACCCCCCCCAACTGATGTCGCCTTCTGATTGATCCAAAACAGTTTATCTATTTGTGACAGTTGCTCTAAAAGAGGGGGCTTTCACCTGTCGAGAATTAGTTTCACTTCATGTCTTTGTATCCAGCTGGTGACTCAGGGCTAAAGTTTTGTGGCACTCCTGCAAGATGTAGTTTAAACAAGTTCAATTGTCTGTGCTGTTGGGAACACTGCAATATCTGAATCACATACGTTTACTGTTTATATATGTGATGAATTTTTATGTTTCTATGGCAATGCTCTTCATTTAAGATATAATTACAATAATTAAAACAAATGCTACTTGAGCTGCTTAATGTCCCACAATAAGCACCACAATATTAATCCTAATTAGTCAGGCTGATTAAGTCATTTATTAAGCTAATTAATAAATGGATTAGCATGTTGTTCTCATCATACTCATCTTTACATACAAATGTGGATGCAAAAGTCTTTTTCTCCTTAATAAAGTCAATGTGTAAAATTATTTACACAGGAAGATGATTCAAAATGTAGATTATATCATCTGTTTTCTCTCTCACAGAATATGTAGTGTAAGAACAATAAAGCTGGAATCAAAATGTGTTTTCAGTCCATAAAAACGTTCAACTGAAAATATGTTTGTGCAAAAGAAAACAACCTTATCTGAAGTTTGTACAATGTATTGCTCCCAGGACACAAGACACATGCCAGCACATGATTACTGTACACCCTAAAGACAACAGCAGTAAAGAGTAATATTCACTATCAGAACCAACTTTATAACCTGCCAGATTACACTGTCGCATTATTCATATTCTCTTTTTTTCCAGTTCTTGTTGTAACAACATCTGGCACTGACTGGCTTGTTGCTGCTGCTGTTTTTCACTGACCTGAAGTTCATCGCCCCCTGCTGGTGGAATCAGCAGCACAAACATGTCAACCATGTCAGCCACTGCAAACTCTGACTGGCCCACACCTGCAAACAAAAAGACAGATTTAATTGTCACCGCTGACCGACAATATGACAAAATATGATGCTGACTCTTACAGCAAAACGTAAATCAAAGACCATCTTAAAAACGTCAATTTAAATCAAAACCACCAATTTGAATGTTGTATATTGAATGTTACCTTGCAAGTTGATTTGATTTTACAGTACAATGCATAAACAGGGGCAATACAAAAGTAATTCACTGTATACATTTTTATTATCTTTAAAAAAGGTCTTGGTCAAGGCTGGTTCAGAAGTTCTTATGAATAGCCTTCACAAACTTCAGATTCATCACACTGAAGAAATTCTAGCCTCTGATATGTAAAGGTGACTGATGAATAAGACACCGAGTATCAAACCTCAACACTTGACTGAATAGTGTCTGGAGCACAGAGAATAAAAAAAAAAAACTGGGTACTGAAAGTTACAATGAATACTTGCAGAGATTGTTACGATCAAATCTAACAGATTGAGATTGTTTGGCAAAGTTCTTGTAAGAACAGCACTGAACATTGATACATTATGATAAACACAGAAAAAATTATTGCTTTCATTCCGACACTGATATGGAAACATTTTATATAATGGGGGGGTAAGAGAAGAGAAAATTACTGGAAGAACATTTTACAAAAATGTCATTTTCTATGTTTTTATCTCAAAAAGGTGTATATTACAATAGGAAAAACCAGCAAACAGTGAAATTAAGTCTGTCTAACATGGATCTTTAGAATTCAGTACTATAGCCTGTGTAATAATTGCCTTTGGGAACACCTGGAAAGCACAATGTCTTACCTACTGTCTCTACAAGGACAATGTCGTATCCTGCACCCTCACAGAGAACAATGGCCTCATTAGTTGTTCTGGTGACTCCACCAAGTGTTCCTGAGGCCGGAGATGGCCTGATAAAAGCATTCATGTCCCTGGTGAGTTCAGTCATACGAGTCTTATCACCCAACAGAGACCCTGCAACAAGAGAGAGGAGTCAGTTTGTAGAATGAATTTAACAACAGTCGTTAGTGTAACAGTGCTACATTAAAACATACACAAACACTGTAATCACTGAACCTGCAAAAATAAATATACATCTCATCACAATTTCCCACAAATCTATTGTAGCTTGTAAAGCACCCGATAACAATCAGGGGATCTGTGTCTCAGACGTTACCTCCCGTAGTGCAGGAGGACGGGTCAACAGCCAGCACTGAAACTTTATGTCCACGCGCTGTCAACATCTTCCCCACCACCTCGATGAAGGACGACTTCCCTGCTCCTGGAGGACCGGACAGACCTGAGAAATCAACAGAGCCATCAAATCAGAAACAAATGACACCAAGAACTGATTTATTTGACTTTGACTACATTTTTAAAAACAGGCTTAAATACAAAATAAGCTGTATAAATCTCACACCTACAGGTTTGAAACTAACACTGGTAAGCCCATATAGCAGCTTTAAAATGTATCAGCGTGTAAAATGCGTCGTGCACTGCTCTCACTGACTTTATGTAATGTTGAGCACAGACAAGGAGAATTACTTTAACAATAAAAGCATCAGAATTAAATGTGATTATATTGTGCTCACATTTAGTATTAAAGTTGTATTTAAATCAGATTATGACTAACTAACTAAATGATGCAGAGTGAACCTGGAGGTATGTATAGTGCAGGGGTGTAGTGGTAAATACAGAGGTGGGTAAATGGTCGCTTACTCACTTTTTTTCTGTTTTAAAAGGGGTTTTTCCTTATCCTTATAGAGGGTCAAAGGAAAGAGGCTGCTGTATGTGGTACACATTGTAAAGCCCCTTCAGGCGAATTGATTTCTGATATTGGTCTACATACAAAAGAGAGAAGTACTTGCATTTTGATTGACTCTGTCAGAGCGGTATTGCGTTAACTGTATGTTAATTATTGAGGTTGTAGTTTGCAGAGCTGCTGAACTGGACTGAATTAAAGGCTGTTAAAATGTTTTGCCCACACTATTTACAAACTTAAAGGTTGGAAGAATATTAGAAACCCCTTTTTAACATAATGCAGTCCAGTACAACAATCACCACCTGTTAATTGAACATTATATATGCACTGGATGGAATTACATTGTATAGGTAAATACAAAAAACAAAACAACCTCTGGCCACTCGAACTCAGACCACACACCTACTCTGAAGGCCACTGGCTTCCCTCCATTACGACTCTCCTGCTCCCTCCTGTAGGCCAGCACCCTCTGCAGCAGCACCTGGGCCAGCTCTTTTTTCCGAGGATGCTGGGTCTCCACCAAAGTGATGGACTCCGCCAGAGACGCCCGCTGTCCTCCGATCAGCCCTTCATACAGTTTATTCAACAGTCTCTCCTCGGGCCCACTCAGGTCCTGCATGTGCTGCCCAAGGGCTGTGTTCACACCCCTCCTGTGCTGGCGGATGCGACCCAGCATGGTGCTCTGGTGGCAGGTGTGGGGACCAGTGTAGACCCCTTGGTGGAGGCAGCATGTCCGGGTGACTGAGGGGACAGTGAAGGGGGAGATGTGGCGGAGGAGGGGGAACCCAAACCGTCGCATTTTAGGGTGAATGTGGGGCCTCTAGGAGGAGACAGATGAGACAGTGATTGACAGCAGCCATTTTGACATGAAATAGGGTAAACACAGGTGTTACCAATTATATTAATTAAGGCGGACTGGAAAAAGCTCTGCTACATACACAAAATGGAAAAAGAACTTTAATTAGTGGCTTTGGTAACATGTCAACACCAAACAACTGCCACACACCAAAGTTACTCAACTGTTTTAACGGTTGTCTTCAGTTTGACCGTTAGGTAAACGTTAGGTAAACGTTAGATAACCGTCAGGTAAACGTTAGGTTAAAGTTAGGTAACTGTTAGGTAAACGTTAGGTAACTGTTAGGTAACTGTTAGGTTAACGTAATGTAAACACGACGTTTGGCCGTCCTGTGAGTGTAAATATAGTTGTCAGAAACATAGCTAGTGAACACTTTACTACGAGTTAAATGTTATGAAATGAGAATTCACGGCTGACCTCGCACGAGCTGCCCACAGGTTAACTTACATATCAACGGTTGTTTCATTCATCCACTTCCTGTTTCCGATGACGTGCGGCGCCGCCCCCCATAAACACTTCCGTCGACTCATTTATAAAAATAAAAAATATCCGTAAACTCTGTGAATAAAGATGTATACAGTGTAAAATTTATTTTAATAGCGCATTTGTTAATAAAAAAATAAAAAAATGTGTTCATGAAAAGTAGTAAGTAAAAAAGAAAACCTATTAATGACAGTAGATATATTTCGCCAGCAGATGGCAACAGAGGTTAATATTCACATCATACATGAACCTACAAACTGGTTCTTTAGTTAAATCATCACTTGAAAAAGCCATATGTTGACATTGTATTACAGCCAATGCATTCTTTATTTATAACTACAGAGAAGTGGGTATAACTCTTTTTATATCATATATTATAAATAACTTTTTTTGAGTGGCCAGAAAGAATAAACACACTGTGTCATAAACAGTGACATGTAAGACTGCTGTTGCATATTTAGCTCACCCAAAAATGGACCAGTAGTATTGTCACTTTACGTGTGTTGCTTGACAGAAGAGGAGCATATTTTGCTATCAGTACTGGCCCACACATTATAGGGTGAGATAACTACATAATTATACATTTTGAGTGAAGTATTCCTTACTTTACCCCTTAACTCTTACTCCATCCACTAATGAAAATTAGACACCAATGTCATGCCTTTGCCATCCTACAAAAATAAGTAACGCTCAGCTCACAGAACAGAGAGGATTTAGAAGTGGGTATACCTAATATACCTCTGGTATATCCTACACTTCACCACTGACTACGCAAATCTTTAATGAAAGGGGACTTTATGTCACTGTGGGACAATTTCTCTTGACAGTAATGATGATAATATAATACAGCTTGCATTTGGCTAGCTTTTTGAATCCCTAATAACAACCACCTGTTAATCCTCATCATCTCACTGGTAAAAATATTAAATCATCCAAATTATTTAATAGAGAACTGGCAGAGGCTACCCCAAAAGATTATATTACAAAGGATTACATTTAGTTGAGCTCTTGGACTAATTAAGCACATTACATACGATAAAATAGTGGGAAACTATTTAGTATAGGACTGCGACTGGCCAAAGCTACTCAAATAGGGATTATTATGAAGAACTTTTATTTGATGGGCTCTTGGACTCACCCAAAGCACATTAAAATAATAAGAAAACTGTGGGTAAAACAATAGAAATTTGAGTTAGAATTAGACTTGCAATACTGATAATAAGATGAGAGCAATAATATGGAAAATGCACCAAATCTGCATCCATTAAAAAGCATTTTATGAATAAATAATGTTATGCTGCCTGTTAGGACTGTATGAGAGAAATCTGCATGTTTCCTGAAAAATGACGCATTTATTGTGTATAAAAAACCCTGATTACATTTGGTCTTCACTCAGAATTAGTAAATAAAGCATGGGTTATCAGTATATCACAGGGCTGTAACACACAGGGTGGACAAACACTCGCTAATAATTTAAGTCATGAGACATTCAGAGTCTCTAGTCCACCTGACGTGCTTGTCTGTGGAATTTGGGAGAAACATGCAAACTCTTGGGAGGCAACAGTGCTAACCACTGTGCAACCATACCACCCACGTCATGTCCTCAAATGAAACTCCAGCACGCAAACACGCACACACACACACACACACACACACACACACACACACACACACGAATGTCAGTGATTTCCAGGGGAGCTTCCTGGAAGATTGCTGTAACTATGCCAGTACTGTCACAATATGCTCCCATAAAACAAAGGAGAACACATGATTTCATGTATTTCCCTCCAATTTACTGGAAAATGCAATTATGCTTAACATGAGTGCAGTTAGGTTTTCAAGATGCACTTGTAATTGTTGTGCCAAGCCTAATTGAAGGTCTATGTCCATCACACACACACACACACACACACACACACACACACACACACACACACACACACACACATAGAGTGGTTGATGTTTTTGAAAGTCCTTGACAATACCATGATGCATATTTTCTTAGCCTGGGTGGCCTTTAATTAAACAGACAGGCACACAAAGACACATAAACATGCCCCGACACAGTGTTCATAAAAGAGACAGGGATGCTGCAAGTAATGAAACAAATTTATTGAATCTTCCAGTAGAGGCTTGATATTCATGGAATAAAACTGCTTTTCTGGGAGTTTTTTACTGAGCGAAAAAACACAAAGGAGAAAAAAACAAAAAAAACAAAGAGGCGATGTGTGAAAGTGCAGACAAACAAAACAGAAAACATGTTCAAAAATACAAAAAGAATGTAAAGAGTAATACAGTTTAATAGCAAAGAGGATTGCTCAAAGCATAACAGAATTGAATGGCAAAATCTGCATTTTATAGAAAAAAAAAATCATATTGGGACATAAGTAACTGATACCCTTTTCTCAGTCAACAATTAAAATTTGAATGCTCAACATTTTCCTATAATAGTCATTTAACAAGTTTTGCACAGTCTGTGTAATAAGAGAATGAAGCACAGTCACTGATATATTTATGTCCTCAATGTGACTCCGTATTTGACACATTAGATTTTTGCTGCAGAGTATACAGCAAGGGACAAACTAAACTGCACTTTTATTTGCCTCTGCTGCATGTGGTGTGTTCAGCTACCAGTCTTAAATGTGTAACACTACACTAACCAAACTATGCTTTGCAAAACCAGACTGCACAGCACATATTCTAATAGTGAATATATCTAACCACTATTCTTTTTTTTTTCTTCTTCTTAAAATTCATTTGAAACACGAGTGTAACACAACATGAGCAACATTTAAACATTAGTCTTTCTTTTATGAATAGTCTGAAATGCCCTTTTAGTGCCATGCCCCACACTAAACCCCACTCTAAACTCTCAAACTCCCCCTATTTTTGCCCTCCTATTATTTTTCATGATCTGTGATATGGGATTTCATTTTTATAATAACTTTGTACTGCTTTCATTTATTAGCCTAAAAAAGAACACTGAGAAAACAGCATACTTGTTGAACAATCTGGAGATGATTAAAATTTTCAGACATACTGGTCAACCTCCAAGTCCCTGCTAACTTTTTACATGTCATAAGTACATTTCATGCCAACCTCACTGCAGTCAGGCAATAGACAGCAGCCGACTGCAATTTCGCTGACCTGGAATGTCCCATAATTATTGTAACTATACAAGTATATCTGGACTTCAGAGGGAATATTTTGATGCAAACTAGTAATGAGTCAGAATAATAGAACAATGAAAAAGAGACATTGTTGGAGCAAGATCAGGGAGGATACTTGCGTCATGATGAGTGTGATGGTCTAATTATTACAGTTGGTCACAAAGATCAAGTATCTTCCAGTTGCATCACGCTCACTTTGCTCACTCCTCTCCCAGACTGTAAATGTGCCCAATTCAGACATCCTTCAAGTAGAGAACAAACCAACCCATTTAACAACCCACCCAGCCCTACTGGTCGCAGATCAGCTTGTGTTTCAGTCAAAAACCTATATCAGTTTCTAAAAAAAAGGTAGATTGGCTGAACCACAAGATTGGCTGTGACCCCATTCTTGCTACTTTGACCAAAATGCTGGGGTATGGACAGTCACAGGGCTGAGGACAGTGAAGCCTAGGAGACGGAGGATATAGGGTTGTGGGGGGAGCCCATCTGGGTTAGCACCTTATCCAACCACTGCAGGGGACCATGCAGGTGAATCTCAATCCAGCAGGGTGTGCTGGTCACATCCTGGCGGTGGTACTCTGCTCCCCAGCCCTGGAACACATTAAAACACATCATATCTTATTATTATGCCACAAATGATTGTGCTAGTTCTACTTTTTAAGACTTGTTTGAATGTTATTTGGACTGTCCAGTGTTAGTGTTAAGTTCTGCTTGAGGTCATGATGATTTGGGATGCAACAAGTGATTTTATTCATTATCAATCATTTCATAATTTTCTTAATTAAAAGGTCAAGTTGACGTCCTCAAATGTGTTGTTTTGTCCACAAAAATATTCAGTTTACTGTCATAGAGGATTAAAAAAAACGGAAAATATTCACATTTGAGAAGCTGAAATGAGAGAATTTTGGCATTTTACCTTTAATAATTATTTGACAACTAATCAATTAATCAACTAACCTTTGCAGCTTTAATGTTGATATTTGACTTTGTATCAAGATGTCCCATGTTACCGTCGCTGAATACCCAATTCATAAAAAGTTAATTATAATAATTAATTAATTATAAAAAAAAGGAGGGAAAACTGTTTTTCAACAGTTTTTTACCCAAAATTTATGAAGCAACTTGAGAGGGAAACTCCCTCCAGACAGCAACAAGGCCAAAAAGATTATAGAGAGGGTTTGTTCTTTTATACTTTATTTTATAAAGTAAATAAAACATTTAGGAACAGCTTCAGGCATTTTTTTCTATGCAGAGTTATATAATTGTCAAGCATATATATTATATTGATTAACTTTAATGTACTTGAAGTGTGCAATGTGCAGCTGTATTATCTATGAAAATACCAAGTATTGGATCGAAAGGTTGAAGACTGAATGTGTAACAGTGTGAATGTGATCAGCAAAAGGGAGGCGCTCTGAACCTCCTCTAAATAAAATAAAAACACAAAAAGAAGACTCAGGGGCCTAAAAATCCCTAATTGTTGTTTAAAAAAACTAATCTGATCAGCTTACCTTAACAAAGCTCATGCGGATAGTACACATCTTGGTGAGCTCATAAACGGCCTCAAAGCCGTGGTTGACGGACTGGGCCAGCAGCTCAGCGAACTCCTGGTTGTTGAAAATCTTCAGGCTGCAGCCGCTGGGAATCTTACACACAGTTGTGGGATGGAAGCCGTGATGGTAGTTACAGTTACGACTCTGGACGAAGATACTGCTATCACTCAGACATTCTGCATACACCTCCCCACC